TTAATGCCATTTCCTGATGTGTGTGTATGTTTTGCTTGCCAGTGCATTAATTTTGTTAGTTCTGCTTTCATTTCTTTAAACTAGAGGATATTTTTGTTTGTTTATATGAATAGATTATAAAACCAGCCTAAGAGACCCAAATGGGTTATAGGCATGTGAGTTCAGTTTCTTAACCGATCTGTTTTTAATCACATGCATTTCTAGAACCTTAAACATGAAAATAATGATGTTCTTCTGGAGAGGGGTGAGAAAGCATAACTACAGTTCTTGGTGGTTTTATTTATTTATTTATTTATTTGGTATTGGGGCCACACTTGGCAGTGCTTAGGGCTTACTCCTGACTGCACTCAGGGATCACTCCTGGTGGGCTTAGGGGACCAGATGGGAAACCAAGGATCAAACTGGGGTGGGCCACATGACAGGCAATTGCCTTACCTGCTGTACTGTCGATCTGACTCCTACTTCTTGGTCATTTTAATAGAGTAAGATTTTCCTGTTGCCTTTGTCTAAGCATTAAAATTGGAGAAAGCCAATTCTAAAGAAGTTCAGGGGCCCCTGACCTGAAATAGGGCACTGGCCCAGGTCCTGGAACCTCCTAGTACATTTGCCCCATACCTTTCAGTGTATGTCAGTGGTGGTTCACCCTTTTTTGGGAAGAAACATTGTTGGTTTTTTCAGATCCCTAAAGGACTCTGACACAAAATGAGAAGAACTGACTTTGTTCGTCAGTCTGATGCTAATTCAGTATTCTGGGTTTTGTGTTAATCATTCTAAAGGAAATATAAAGAGAAAATCACCTCAGTCACTTGATAAATTGCACCTTTGTTTCTTTCTCTGTGTGTATTTATTCCTATTTGATCGTGGGCTAATTAAATGCCTCTAATTGATGAATAGATGGAAACGTCTGCCTCCAAAAATTAATTTCATTCCTTCTGCTCCTTCTATGTCTGCAACTCATTTAAAAATTTGAATCTTTTCACATCCCAGAAGGCTTTGGAATTGCAGTCTTCAAGACCTATCAATTGCCCCCTCTTTTGTGAGGACTCTTCTGAACTTAGTGCTGCCTTTCTCTAAAACACAATACTCCATCATTGTGAGTTTATGCTATTCATGTGTTTGTCTTTTATTCCTATCATTTCTTTTCTCCTGCCTTTCTGTTAGCATTAGCTTGTCACTTCAAGTGAAGATGGGGGGGGGGGGGGCGTTAGTCCTTCTTAAATCATTTTACACCCTGGATCCCTTTTTTGCCTGAGAAATGCAACACTGGGTTATGCTGCTACAAACACCTCAGATTCATAATATGGTTGATTTCGAATTAAGATTTGGTCATTGCACATTCAGCAAGATCTTATTGATGCCACATTTCCCACAATTCGCACATTCAGTTACACAGCCCCATGTGGGGCCACAACCCATAATTTAAAAAGCTAGCCCTGAGAGATAGTACAGTGGGTAGGATGCTTCCCTTGCACACCTCCGACCAGAGATCAATTCCTGGTACCACATCTGGTCTCCCAAGCCCTTCCAGAAATGATCTCTGAGCACAGAGCCAGGAGTAACCCCGAGCACTGTCAGGTGTGTCAAAATTAATTAGTTAATTTAAAACTAGGATCAGACTGACTTGTGTATCACAGGCCCAAATACTGATAATATCTGTTTTATAGTGGTGACTCAATAAAAATTGGATTTTAAGTAAAAGCCTATTCAAATGTTCTAGAGGAAGGAACAAGAAATGTCCCTTTTCTTTTACCAAGTTCCTTCATGACATAGTGTCTCCTACTTTCAGGGATAAACACTGTCCTGATCACTCATAGTGGTAAGCAGTAGAGTTTTATTAAGTTGGGTAACAAGCAATCCAGAGACAGGCTTTCTGAAATTGGTTAATGTCAGAAATCTCCACACTGTCAGAGCTCAGGGTTACCCTCCTCTGTAATTTTCTTGACTTTCCTTTTATGGCAGAAATAGGACTTTAATGGTGGCAATCCTTGTTCTTTTTACCAACAAGGATAAAACCAGGCTGAATGTATAAGAGCAGGGAAACTCCCATCTTTATTTCTCTGCTTTAATCCAGGAAACCAGTAAAACATCCCCACCCAACTGCAGGTTTTTCTCTCGCATCTCATTAGCTGGAAGTAGATCACATGCTCATTACTGAACCTATCACCCACACAGAGGAGTGGGACAAACATTCTTTGTCTCGACATACTTGATTCATGCCCAGAGCTGATGGAGAGTGCTCTGTTCTTGAATGCAATGCCTGAACACATTAGGATTCAGTGCACTGGGAAGTTAACCAGCACCTCAGTTAACCAGCACCCTCAGTTGATGAAAAGGAGCAAAACCATGGCTTGGTCCTTTGTTTTGTTGACCACATGTGTCTTAAGTTGTTTATAAAGCATCTCCATAGTTTTGATGCAATGAAGTCTTTCTTTTTACAGATGGGGGCTGGGGCGCAGAGAAGGGCTCTTAAGTGGTGCTCAGGAGACCTGAGGTCCTCTTTCCTCAATTCTTGACTTGCTGGGCCTGTAGTTCAGCACAAAGATGCAATAGTGTTCTGGCCCTCTTGGTGTTGGGGATACCCCGGGCCATCCCAACAGTGCTTTAGGGGCCTACATAACCAGAACCTGTGATGCTTGGGGGCCTCTAGGGCTATACCTGCATGGGTGTGTGCAATATATGATACTAGTGATTATGGTGGAGTTAGCTCGATGCAAGGTCATATACTGCCAGCCCTGTACAATCTCCCTCTCAGCTCACCCCACTCACCACCACCTCCACCAAAGAATTATTCTTAATTCCCCATCTCTGCAGAATAATGTTTCAGTATTGTGTGCCTTGAAGTTGGGTGGTCATATTTAACTAGCAAAGTTGTAGGAAAATTGGTAAGGAGCTGTCACTATCCAATTTAAAGTTGTTTTACGTATTCTGAGTTTGGAAAGTTTACTACTACCAATTAAAGAGAGATGGAATGTTGGTAGCTATGTGAACCTAAAAATATTTAGGCAAAATGTGATGTGGTTACTAGTGCATGTTGTACCTCTCAGCAAAGGAAATAAAAGGCAAAAGTGGCAAATTGTACATAGGATGAAAGGTTTCCAGCACTAGAGTATGACTGTCATTGATTGCTTCAAATAATTGGACAGAAAGCAAAAGCATCCACAGAGAAACATTTATGTCTCACTCTCTTTGATTCTCCTCGTCTTCCTTTATCCCCTCTGTACAATATATTATAGCTAGACCAGCTCTAAGCCACAGGGTGTGTTTTATTGATTTTTAATTGTCTGTCTTCTGTGTCATTGAGTGGTACCCACTTTTCAGCAGTATAAACTGTAGTCAGGACAGATAATTAATACTTTTGTATATAGCTCTAAGTTTTGATCTATGATCAGGAAGTGGCCCAATCCTTGAAAAATATTTAAGGCCATTCAAAGCCATTAGGATCATTGACTTTGATATAGAACAATAGGTCTCTATCCCAGTTCATACTAAGTTTGTTGAATTTGCCTTTCACCTCTATCCTGAGTTATCAAACTCTAGTTTTCCAAGTTTTAAACTCCAAAATGCCTTATAAAATTGTTCACTTGCCTTCTATACTGTTGTTTTTATGTAGAGATTTGACATCAGACAGGCCTTCAAAAACATATTATTTAAGGCATATTTAAACTTATTTTTAGGAACCTCAGTGTTCTTCCATCTCTGCTGAGGGATGATAAATATTTGTTGGTAAATAGCCCTCTCTGTGAATAGGCAGGTTCCCAAACAGAGAGGCCAAGGGACATATTTATACAAGTTCTGTTTAGCCTCTCCTGTATGTGTGTGTGTGTGTGTGTGTGTGTGTAACATATTTGTATTTGTTGCCAGTATTTGTTGATTATTTGTTTGCACATAAACACATCAACATCTGTCTCTTAAGATGGACCATTTTGGAGTCTTTAACTTTGATTTAAGCACCATATTGGCTTTATAACATATACAGATACATAGTTCCAGATTTAGTGATGCATAGAAAGCAGTGCTGAAGGAAAACATGTAAACTTGGGAGGGGTTATGTCAGGAAACAGGCTGAGACAGGCTACATCCAGTGATACTCGGCAGCTACTTCTGACTCAGGAGTAGTCTCTGGTGGGACTCAGGGGGCCACACACAGTGCTGTATATCAAACCAGCGTGAGCCACATGTAAGGTAAATGCCTTAACCCCAGCACTCTCTCTCCAGCTCTGCTCTCTGTATATTATATCTGCTTGTGCATGCACCAAAAGCAATACAAAATGGTATATGAAATAAAGGGAATTAGTTTACTCCATGGCTTGGAGGCCAGCCACACACGCTAGGGGAAAAGTCAGCTCAGATAGAGAAGGGAGCACCAAATAAAGGGTGTTGGCAGGATCCTCCCAGGATGGGGGATGCATGCTGAAAGTAGACTATAGACCGAATATAATTCTCACTCAGTGCTTCTTTTGGAAGCCACAGCACCCAAAAGGAGAGAAAGAAGAAAAGGGAATGCCCTGCCACAGAGGCAGGGTGGGACAGGGGAGATGGGGGGTGTGAGGGATACTGGGATCCATGGTGGTAGAAAATGGGCACTAGTGGAGGGATGGGTACTTGATCATTGTATAACTGAAACCCAAGCACAAAAATTTGTAGGTCTACAACTGTACCTCATGGTGTTTCACTAATAAAAGTTAAAAATAAAATAAAGGGAATTAAAATTCACTTATGCATTTTCCGGAGAACAGAAAGACCTTTTCTGCTTAATCAAGGCAGGCAGTAGCATTTCATGACACTGCATAATTTATGAGGGGAAACAATGATGTGAATGCATATAAGGTCATGATGAGCAATCTGGGTTAGTTTTCTGAAGTGCCTCTTTCTCTGAATAGTAATGGTATGCTCTCTGCTAAGTGTGTTTCCTTTGGAAGTCTGTGAGAAAGAACATGCTCTCCTGAGCCAATTGCTTTGAGAAAATGATTGAAATCTGGTGTTTTCTTTTCTTCTTACAGCCAAGGACTACTGCAAAGTAATATTCCCATATGAAGCACAGAATGATGATGAATTGACAATCAAAGAAGGAGATATAGTCACTCTCATCAACAAGGTAAGCACAATAAGGTGAAAAATCTGTGGCGTGTTGACTGGGTTGGACAAATTTTTTTAAGCTCTGGATACCCCTCATTGTCATGGTCTGGAACTCCTGAGGCGTCTTTATCTTTGGTCTTGATGTGGCTAAGTCCAATGTATCCAGGTGAGTAAATGAACTTGAAAATTGAGTAGATTCAGTTTGCCTGGGAAAAAGCTGGCAGATTTCCATGGCGCTGCAGAAAGCGGCTGTCCCAGAAGAGCTAGCTCAGAAGGCAGCCTCCTTGGATGGATATCCCACCTTCCCAGCAGCTCCTTCTGCCAAGCGCTGTCAGAAATTATCCAAGGATGCCCTTTAAAAAGGCAGGTCATGCCTCATAGGCAGAAAACGCTTCAAGAATGTTTGCTGTTCAGATCAAAGTCAGGTAGCATGCCTGGGAGAATTTTGCCTGTCTTGTTTGGGCTAAGGTCAGATGATTTTGTTATCATTACTAGCAGAGCCCTGTAAACATACAGAGATCTATAATATCTGTGTGAAGTGATGCAGCTTCACAGGGCCTGGGCGGGGTACTGTGGGTGCTTTTATGCAACGTACTTGCCAGGTGGGTGGTTGAAAGGCATATTGTCTACATGATGCCTGGAATAAGGAAGTTCTCTCTGAAGTACTGGGTTTTTATGATGGCTGACTATGATGCCAAGCTGAGTAGTCTTCAGTGTAAGATGGATTCAAGGGACTTAGCATGGGTGTGACTGGGACCCATCATGAGTACTTTCACTCTTTTGGGGCTACAAAGATTGGCATTCAAAAGGGAGTGAGAACAGGGCTTAGGGTGGAAATAAGACTGGATACCACTGCCTCTGACCATTACTGAGAGGGAGGGAACATGATCTTGCCTTCCCCCCAGACTCCCACCCCAAGATTTTTTTTTACCTTGGGGCCATTATCATCAAGGATGGTTTCCTTTAAGAAGCAACTGTAGAGGTTGTGTGTTCTAAGGGCCAGACCCCAAAGGTAAAGTAGCTTGCTCAAAGGTCAAAATATTTTAGGTGGTGAGCTGGCCCACTCCATTCAAAAATTGTGCAATAGACTATACTAAGGGTACCCTTCTGGAATAACCAATTGTCCCCCATCTTCGCTGAGCCCCATAGGACATATCCAACCTCCTAACCTGTAAAATTTTCTCCCCTACTTATTTCAAGCACATAGAATAAGAAAATTGCTGGACATGCCGGAGGCATAGTACAGTGGGTAGGGTGTTTGCCTTACACAGCTAACCTGGATTCGATCTCCAGCACCACCCTGTGCCCACCAGGAAAGCCAGGAGTCAGCCCTGAGCATAGCCAGGTGTTGCCCACCAGTTTTTTAAAAAGGTTGTTGGCTATGTGGAGCATAATACACATAAGGCTTTAATTAGCACATCTGTTAGATTCCTATAGGAATCCTCCGTTATGGAGAAGATGTCCATGGTCCCCAGTGGATGCCTGAAAGTCACTGTAGTACTGAATATTATTCATGCTATATTTTAATGTATAAACCAGGCACATAAGAGATGAATAGCAACATCAAATAATAAAAGGGAACAATTATAATGATTGTCCATAATAAAGATTGCATGCATGTAGCCTCTTTCTCTGCTGGGAAATATTTTGGAGTGTGAGTATGGGGGGACTGTAAAGGAGAGTGGGTAGCAGACAGTAAAAACAGTCTGCATGAAAGGGCGTTTCTCTACAGCAAAAGTGCTACGGTGCTTTCCCTTGATGATCAAGCAATGTGGGAATTAAATTGCTGCCATTCTTTGCCATGGGTGGAGAAGGTACATTTTCCTGTTTACGTTTAGAGGGAACAGCCTCTTTTTATTTGAAAATCAGCCAATAATATTTTGTCAAAACTGGGGCAAAAAGAGCCTTCTTTTTCTTTCTTCATCAAATTCTTCTCCCTTAACGTATTATTATATTCCTGTCCTTGCCACGTGACCATATATAAGAGCCCATTCTTCTTGATGATTTCCTTTCTACCTCACCTGCTGAGGTTCTGTCTAAAGAAAAAAAAAACAATTGGTTTTCTAAAGTGCTCTGTCTGAAGGAACCAGGCAGATGTGGAAAGCTACTTCAGCCATACCCTCGGGGTTTCATCACTTAACTCTAGGAGACCTGGAGCAGTTCACAGATGCTAATAGTGCATTTGCAAAGTGCTCACAGATGTTAACACTGCATTTGCAAAGTTGATCCTCCAGATACTGCCACACGGAATCCCTTAACTTGATCCTGCTTCTCAGGCCAGGACTACCTTGGCATTTTAATTTTCTTGATAGATTTTTCTTCTTTCCAATGTTTATGTATGCACCATAATTTCACAATATGTTCGGCTTGCAAGGTCCCAGCTCCTCACCCTCACCACAGTCCACTTCCCTCTGCTAATGCCTCGAGGTCCTTGCATACTTCCACTTCCTTGATTAAGTGGATGGAAAGTAACTAAAGACTGTGTGTACGTGTGTGTGTGTGTGTGTGTGTGTGTGTGTGTGACATCTTGGGCATTTGGGAGGTGAGATGCATTAATCACCCAACAAAATTAAAAGCATTAACATGATTATAAACATGTGCCCATGGCATTAAACACTCCCCTTGCTCTTATCTGCCGCAGCAATGAGCCCACAGCACTAGAACCTGCATGCAGTCCCTGGTGGACCCAGTCCTAGGCTGGTATTTGTACCCCTTTTCCCCTCTAGCACCCAGCTCCTCTTTTTTTTTATCATCCTCTGACAGCCCTTGACAGTTCTTTATTCCAACACAAATCTTGAGTCATTTTCTGCTCCTTGACTGAGAACCTACTAGATTTTCTTGGCACCCCTCTTCCAAGCAGTCTGGCCTCACAGTGGCTTCCCGACCTTGGTGCTCATCATTGTTTAGTAAGAGCACTGCAAAGAGCAATGCCAGCTGTCCTGAGATGTCCCCATCCTGCTCATGTATCCTCCCTGGCTTGGACCAGACCATGATGCTGATGCCTGGGGTACCCTCTATCTGCTCACACCTGCTTTCTGTAGAGCTAAGAGCATGACCAGTATTAACTTGGGCTGCATCACATACTTAGGCCCTTTGGGCTTTGTTGCCTAAAGCAAGTCCATTGTGCTTTTTAAATGTCTGTTTTCTTCTTATTTCCTGTGTTCTGTCTTATCAAGTCTCTCTCTCACTGGCACTTCTTCAGAATTGGGACTTCTATTCCCCTGAGATATCCACTGCACCTGGCTCTAGCACTGCTGTTTATTGGAAACAGAATGTGAGATGGGTAGATGCCACTGGCCTCTGAGCTTAGCTGAACAAAGGTTTAAAGCCCGGCTCCACGATTTTGGGTTGTGTGTCTTTGAACATGTCTCTTAGGCCCTCTGATTCTCAGTTTCCCGAGTGATGAAACCCACCTCATGGACTTCCGTCAAGATTACAGTCCTGTGTGCAAAGGGCCTTCATGCAGGGAGGGGGCTACCACTGGGACCCGTAATCCTTGGAATTATCACTTCAACCTTGGCAGCTTTCTCTGACTTTAGAAATGGGAATGGAAGAGCTCTCGGGGATGGGCTCCCTGCACTGTTGAAGTGAGAATGCCATGATATAACTGGAGCAGAGCACTGGAACACAGTCGTCCCATTGTTCATCAATTTGCTTGAGCGGGAACCAGTAACGTCTCCATTGTGAGACTTGTTGTTACTGTTTTTGGCATATGGAATATGCCACGGGGAGCTTGCCAGGCTCTGTTGTGTGGGTGGGATACTCTTGGTAGCTCGCCGGGCTCTCCAAGAGGGACGGGGGAATCAAACCCGGGTCGGCCACATGCACGGCAAATGCCCTACCCACTGTGCTATTGCTCCAGCCCGCCATGATATAAAGTCACTAAAAATAGAGGAAAAGTGGCCAGAGAGATCGTACAGTGTATAAGGTTCTTGCTTTGCGTGTCTGAATGCTGACAAGGATTTGATCTCCAGCATCCCATATGGTCCCCTAAGCACTATCAGGAGTGATCCGAGAGCCAGGAGTAACCCTTGAGCATCAACGGATCTGGCAAAAAGGAGGAAAATGTACCAGAAGGGGGTTGAGTTCACAGCAGGTGATGTTTTGGCAAGAACTTGTAAAGGAAGCATGCTGTATTTGGCCTGCTCAGAGTGGGAAAATTGGAATCTGAAAACATCATACCCTGCTTGCAGTGATGAAAAATTCTTTCCCCTAGCTCTGAGTTCAGGGATGGCACAGAATTTCATTCGAGTGATTGTTGCACTCTTCATATTGTAAAGTGACTCAATTTCCTGGGATACTTAGAATGTGAGTTTTGATATGCTTCTTTAGTCTGTGGCTGATTTGAGACCAAAGACCCGAGTTCACTGTTTTCTAAAGTGGAAAGCTTTCATCATAGAGATTTTTCTATTTACCCCAAGTTCCAGTGATGTTTTTCTTTATAGTCAATTAAGGTGGTTTCCCTGAGCTCTGCTTTTTCTCTGCTGTGCCAAAAGTCACGGGGCATGTTGCCCTCATTTTGAGTCCTAGATTGTCAGTTTATGTAGCTTTCTAGAAAATGAGTCAGTTACCTTAAGTGGATGCCTGAAAATCCACTCCAAAATAATGTACAAAGACCTGAACTATTTGTGTGTGTTCCTGGAAACTAGGATGAAATGTGGTAACCGGAATGGTTTGTTTTCTAGTTTATTTATAAAGAATTCTTGTGGATTCAGGAACATTGCCACTGTACAGAACACACCTGTGTTTAGCTTTTATTTCCAGACACTCAAAATTAGTCCATGCCCCACCTTCCTGACTTGTGCTCCGGGTGTGTTTAAAAGGGTTCAGAACCCTCTGTGTCTGCTCTCCAGCTCGGAGGCACTGAAGAAGGGAAGAGAAAGAGAAAAGCTAGGTGAGAAGCTTGGCTGGAAAGTTCATCACCATGGACAGGTTGACAGAGATGCTCCTTTCCATGGCCCAGCCGTGGAGAGAATCCATGTTTCTGCCCTTGGTTGACAGCAGCATCCCAGCCTCGGT